TCAAATATATAGCAAATAATTAATACTCAGTATATACCTAAAGAACTACTAAAACCAGTAAGAAAAAGACAAATAATCCAATAGAAGATGAGCAAAAAGCATGTTTAAGAAATTCAGAAAAATGAAAATATGGTTGGTCAACACATTTATGAAAAGATGATTCGTCTCACTAGCAATCGAGTGAGGACAAAATGCAACAAGAAATGTCTTCACTCATCAATCAAGTAAAATTTTAAAGTTTGATAATTTCAAGTCTAGTAACATTGTGGGGAAACAGCTAACCTAATCCACAGGTAGTGTGAATCTAAATTTCCAGTCTTTTTGGAAAACCGTTTAGCAGTATCAGAATTGTCAATGCTTATACTTTCAATCCATGTAGCTTTTTATAATAATAAAAAATTCCAATGTTTATCACTAGAGAATGGTTAAATAAATTATAGTCCATCTATTGTAAAGGTATAGTACAGGTAAAACAAATAAGTTGACTCCATGTATACTCATATAAAAAGCTCTCTAAAATCTACTATTAAGTGAAAAATAAAAGTTAAGTGGCAGCAATAACGCCTCATACGATGTATCTCTACAGAGAAATCCTCCACGTTGCTAAACTCTGCAGCATGGTCTGCAGTGGAAAAAGTAGAGAAGAGAGACTTTGGTTTTCTTTGGTTTGTTTGTTTGTTTACAATGAGAATGTACTCAAGAAATAAGGTGGTTATTTGTGCACTAATGTTTATAGCAGTATTATTCACAATAGCTGAAGGTGGAAACATGTCCAATAGATGAATGAACAAACAAAATGTGATAGATATATACAATGGAATATTATTCAGCCTTAAAAAGGAAGGAAACTCTAACACATGCTACAACATGGATGAACCTTGAGGACTTTATATTAAGTGAAATAAGCCAGTCACAAAAGGACAAATACTGTATGATTCTACATATATGAAGTTCCTAAAGTAGTCAAATTCATAGAGACAGAATATAGAATGGCAGGTCTGGGGTCTGACAGATTATAGAATGGCAGGCCTGGGGTCTGACAGAATATAGAATGGCACCCCAGGGTCTGGGGTAGGAGAAATGGAGAGTTCATTTTAGATGAGCACAGAGTTCAGTTTGGGATGATGAAAAATTTCTGGAGATGGGTGGTGATAATGACTGCACAACAATGTGAATGTGCTTAATGCCATAAGCCATATGCTTGAAAATGTTAAAATAGTAAGTTTTATATTATGTATACTTTACCAAATTAATGTCAAATAAAAATAACAAGACAAGCAATAATAATAATAATAATAAAGATAAATTGAGCTTATGCTTAAAATCCCTTTCCATTAAAATGCCTATATTACCAAAAAATGTACACATATAACCAAGTTCAAAATAAAGAATGGATTGTACACAAGTGCCAAAAACAATGAGGGAACTACAATCCAGAGACAAAAGCAGAATCTGACCTGGAGGAGACTCGTGGAAAACTCAGACGGATAGAGGCTGAAAACCGTATTGTTAACTTTACAGATTTGGCCTCAGCCTGTGGGAGGTAAGGAGCTAAAGTGGAGCCCCCTGTACAATACAGATCCTTGAAGGGTGGCTCCATCCATAAAGGAATTTCAGAAAACAAAACACTCCTTTGGGGAAGCAGCAAAGAAACAATTCACAAACAGTGGGAAAGAAAAACATCACACATGAGTAATTAAAACCCTAAGCCTCCACCACACATTGGTGAGGGGTCTAAATTTACACCACTCACGTAGAGTGGAAACACTAAACTGTAAATTGATCATATAAAATATGTAAGATTAGTGAAACACTCAGGCCCAGCAGACACATAAAACTGGTATCTAGAAGGACATTTCCACAGCCTAGGGCACACAAAATTCCCACAGGAAAGGTGGAAGGGAGTGACCAAGATGAATTTTCAATAAAAAATAAAGAAACAGAACCCATGAGGTACACTTAGCTTGCACTCACATGTGCGCACATACACAAACACCCCAGAATCAGCACCCTCAAGAACGGGCTTAAACAGAGCAATCTGAAAGTACCAATGCAATATACGCTTTAAATGGCTAAGGAGATTAAAAAAATAGACTAAAACATAATTAAGATTTAGGAAGAAGATCAGCTCCATTTGGAACTCGTATAGCACGAAGAGTCTTCAGAACATCTAGGCAGAGGTAAGTAGAAGGGTCCCAAAATTCTAAGTCTGGAGCCGAGGAGCGAGGTCTTGGCTGGAAATGGACTTGGGGGTCATCGCCAAAGGGAGCTTGATGAGCCAGGGCGTATTTCCTCTCACTCCATGAGAGGAGGTCTCTGGAGTGAGCCCTAAGGGCAGGAAACTTGAGGGAGACAGAAGTAGAGCTCTATCTATACCACCAATTTTGACTGCAGCCTTTTCTAGGAAGTGTTTTCAGACTTTCCTCTCCCCAAAATAGTCCCCAGAGCCTCTCTCCCAAGGCCCCTTACTCAGCCTGTCTCTTCCTCGCTGCTGCCAGCTCCTAAAAAGTTAACAATGCCAGCCTGTTCTTGTTTATTTCCCCCACATCTAGCACAGGGTTGAGCCCCTATTGTGATTCCATAAATGACTGCTGAAATGAATGAAATTAATGTGTGTGTTCGGTCGTGTTTTGGGAATTCACATTATGAATCCACTGGGGAATGAGACTCAGAAGGAGCTGGAAACACGGCTGGTTTCTTTATCCTCGCCCCCTCTTCTCTCTCTCCCTTCTGCTCCCCATTCTATACTGGGAGGAAACAGCATCTATTCTCGGACTCAGGCAAGCACTGCCCCTAATTCAACCTCTTATGAGCACCATGAAGCATTTCTGAGAATTGTATCTGTGCATGATCTCTCACTCTTCTCTCTGCCAGCATTCTAATGACCTGTTATTGAATGGACTTTGCAAGTATTAGCTCATTTAATCCTCACGACTTTTGTACTAGTTCTACTCTGCAGATAAAGAAACAGGTTCAGAGAGGTGATGTGACTTTCGCTGCTACAAAGCCACAGACTGGCAGGGCCAGGGTTCAAACCCAGATCTCCTAGATTCTAAAGCTACAATTTCAGCCTCTTTCATCAATCTCCTTCTGCTTCCTTCTCCCCTGCCCTCCCAGTCATGTGGACTCTCCCTCGCTCCCTCCTTAGCTCACACTGTCTAAGCCACACATTCTTTGGCAGATGAGTGAAAGTGGCGGTGGCAAATGGATGACCAGTTGAGTGGTGGATTTGTCTTTTTGTGGCTACCAAGCATTGTCCTGGGGAAGCACCTGGAACCCAGGACCCCTTTGGGGACCCCTCCAGGATTCCTAGGATAAAGGAAAGAACAGACAAGGGTCCATCTGCAAACATGTAGCTGTAAAGACTGGGATATTGTCCCCGGACTGCCCTTGGTGATCAGACCCAGAGCCTGCCATTCCTGTAAAAGTGAGAGTGGCCTATGGGGGGCCTATTCCTTTAAGACCCTGGGTTTCTTGAACTTGACTTTGTAGGGACCCAGGATTGTGCCTGGCCTTAGTCCAATGTGGGAGGTAAAGCCCTTGTCTGGAAATCGGGAGACTAGAGATCTGAGTGTGATGCTGTCACCAACTTGGAGGACTTTGGGCAAGATAGAGCTTCTCTGACCCTTGGTTTTCTCATTTGGAAAATGGAAGAGTTATCCCAGGCCTGTCTAGTTCTCAGGATAGATATTTTGGCATATGGAGGGCTCCAAACCAAGGAAACAGGATGGGGGTCTGGGGTGAGGAAGGGAGCAGAGGCTAGAAGCAAGACAGCCTGGTACCACCAAGATGGGCAGCTTCAAGATGTGTCTTCTCTGGGGCTGGGCCAGGACTATTTCACTGAACACCTCCTGATAGGAGGCCTTACCCAGTCAAGCAGCTCTGGCCCAGACCATGACTGAGAAATGGCAGGGCCAGGAGAAAAAGAAAAGAGGAGATGAGGAAGAGGGGAAGTTGGAAGAGTGATATATGGGGTGGGCAGGAAGGACAGAAAAAACTGGCCTCCTCAGGATAACAGGTACAGAAGTTAGCACCCTGGATTCTGGATAGCATTCTAGCCTCAGCTCTGTTCCTCACTCCCACGGCACCTTAATCAAGTATAGCTCCAAAGCTCAGTTTCCCCATAGGTCATCTCAGATTTTATTATTTCCTCAGCTACATCCTCCATTTGCCTTTCAAATTATGACTCCATAGCTTTATTGTCAGGAACTCTTCCTTGAGCCACCGTCTCCTGACTCCTAGAATTCCTGCCTCTCCTTTCTGTGCCCTACAAACCTCAGCTTGAGCTTGATCCCCTTATGTCTTGACTTATACTGTGTCACACATCATAAGGCAGAAGCTACTGTGGAGTCACCTTTGGTCCCTCCTATCGAGCACTTTATACACTGTTGGTATTTAACAAACATTCTGTTAGTGATCAATGTGATCAAATGGACAGATGGATGGATGCCTAAAAGGATATGTCTGCTTTTGTCTGCTGCTGATTAAGCTCCTGGTCAAAACTCCTCTCCATAAAAAGCCTCCTGGATCAATTCCCAGCCACACACTCTATGTTCCACAACTTAGCCAAAAAAATTTACAATCTCCACTGCTGCCCCTCTCCCCTGTCCCCTCTCAAAGTCTCCTCCAGTTGCCACCCTACTTAACCAACAGATTCCAATACCACAGGCCTGACAGTCCCAGGAGCTTGGACTCTGCCACCTGTCTTTAGTTATCCGTGCTCCTGGGGCGGTCATCCTATAAACAAAGGATGCTCTGTTGAAGTACCATGGAGCTTTTGTGCCACTGAAAACCCCACAGAGGTCCCTAGGAGGGTTACTGCAGGTCACAGAATTCAGGAGTCACAGGCTCAGGGAAGGGAGGTGCTTAGATAGATAGATGACTGACTGTTCATAGAAGATCCAAGTCCTAGCACTTTAAGACCCAAATTGCCAACACTTTAACCCACCCTGCAACACACATATGTACACCCCCTGGTCAAGAGAGAAGCAGATTCTCACCTTGATGTTCCTCCAGTTTGCCCATGGTCTCGATCTGTTCCACCAGGTCATTTGAATTCCACTGGCTCATCCCAATGAGGATGGCATTCTTCCCTTCAGCCATCTCCTCTGTGGGAAAGAGCAGAGATGGGCATAAGCAGGCAGGGGTAGGTACAGGTAGCCCTAACAGGAACTTATGACAGGTATGAGACATACAGGAATTCTTCATTGCAAGAAAGTGTTGTGATATCCTACTGAGCCTCCACACATTACAGCAAATGAAAATAAGAAAGGGACAGTCATGAGAGAGGCTGAAGACCCATAGAAGCCTCCATTCCTAGCCCTAAGCGCAATATTTCTTAAAAGAAAGTATGTTTGGGTAGCGGCGGTGGGGGGGACCTCACCACTGCTAGTAGTTTTTCTTTGGGTAAGTTAGTTGCCTTCTCTGATCCTCAGTTTTACCATCAGCAAAATGGGACTGGAAATGTCTAACTCACAAGATGGTGTAACGGCCAAATGAAATAACGGGTATAAATATCTTGGTGCATAGCGGGCATCACAGATGAGAGACATCATGGTCATTTCTTCACATGAGAAGAGAGTTGCCATCAGTATTTGAGTGGGCCAGGATTTGAGTGAGGCAGGAGCAGCTCTTGAGTAACTGGAAGAGCAGAAGACTTCTGGCTCTAAGCAAGCCTTGAGCTGCGTGGAACCCTTAGCCCACATCACAACCTTAGGAACCTCTTAATGCCTCCATTCCCCACCCCAATCCTCCCTTCAACCCTGTCTCTATTCTTGCTCTTTCCCAGCCTGAGCTTAGCGATGATTCTGGAAAGAATCAGTGGGGCCATATTCCCTAACCACACTGAACCCACATCCCTAGGTCCCACACCTCTGGTTCAGCCCTTCACCCCAGAAAGAGACATTTCCTCAATGACAAACCCATAAGAACCCTACCCCTGGAAGAGATGGTCCTTCTTAGTGAAGAGCTTTGTGTCTTCTCTCATAGAATAGATATTAAATGGTGATGAGGAGACTCTTCATGCTCGATAACCAAGAATAAAAGAATGAGACCCATTTCACTTCTAAGAACTTCACAGAGCAAGTGGAACCAATAGGATAGATTTGAAGCTTGGGGAGCTGTCCGGAGTTCTGAATAGCTCCAGAGTTAGTGATCCAGACCCTATCTCTGGCTGGGGTCTGGGTGATGGTGGTGGTGGTGGTTGCTGTTGTTGTTGTTGCTGTTGTTGTTATTCCTGCCTTGTTTGATTTATTTAACTACACTTATCAAATCTTTACTATGCACTGAAATTTTTATAAGTAGTTCACAAATATTCATTCACTTAATTCTCATAACACTACTAAAAAGGTACAATTATTATTATCTCCATTTTATAGACAAGGAAAGTGAGGTATGGAGTATTTCAGTAACTTGTCCAATGTCACTGTCTAGAGCCATGATTTAAACCTAGCTATACTATTTCAAGAATCCTTAAATCTTGTCCTCCTGGTGGCCTCCTCTGAGCATCCTGTATTGGCTGCCTAACACTCCAGCCAGGCACCACTCATACCCTGACAACTTCCTGCATGTGATGCGTTCCATCTGGGCACCAGTGTGTATCTCTATGCAGCACTGTATTCTGGGCAGAGCCCTGACTGGGTTCCAGTCCAGACTCTGCCACATGTGAGCCTGTGCATTGCACACGTCCCTCAACTCTTCTTGTTTTCTAATCTCTTAAATGGGAATAACACTCTGGTTCTACAACTCTTTCTAGCAAGCTGTCACGAGGACAATAATATAGTAAATTTGCAAAAGCTCCACATGCCAAAATTCTGTAAACAAATATGAGGTAATATGACTCTGGGGGAAGCAGGATCACAAAGGGGATAAGAGCTCAGTTCTGGTGTTATGTTGACTCTTTTCAATCCTGGATGCACCTGGACAGTAATCCTGACCTTGGACAGTAGCTTATGCTTTCTGAGCCTCAGTTTCCTCATCTATAAAATGATATCATAGTCATGCCTACATCACAGGATTGCCATGAAGATGAAATGAGATAACAAAGGTTAAGTGTTTACAAGCATGACTAGCACACAGTAAGAGCACAGGTGTGGATAACAGCACATGAAGATAATGGTCCATCCTCACCACCACCACCAGAGCATGCGGTGTTATTCCCCAACACCCACTCTCAGTTCTAGTTAGGCTGTGGTCTGCTCGTACGACATTCTGTCCCAGCTCCAGACTCGGGTAGTCAGAGTCAGCCTGTAGCCCACCTTGAGCGTCTATGTCCCCTGGCTCAGTTACCCAAGCATGTGGTTGTCCACTTGTTCATTAACTAATACTCATTCTACACTGAATGGTTTCCTGAGCATCTGCTGTGTGCTGTGTGAGATATGACCTCCATCCTGTGGGAATCCAGTTTTGTGAAAAAAAAACAAAAAAAACAAAAAAAAACACAACAGTAAATAACTGACACAGGAAGATAAGCGAGCCAAGGCTCCTGGTCCAGTGCCCAGCATGCAGCAGGTGCTCAGCAGGTACTTCCATATCCTAGCTCCTGTTGTTTTTTCTACGACGTATAAGCCCTACCCCAGGGGTGTATGTGAGGCTGTCAGGAACTGAGGGGGCTTCCAGGCTCTGAGATCTGAGCACACCTACTTCTGTACCACCTTGGGCCTCTTTCCTCTCTTCCTAGTTTTGTGCGTGACCCTCCTCCATCTTTCTCTCTTGGTCTTTTGTCTGTTTCTCTAGTAAATGTATCCTCCTCTCAGACTCCTACCGTGTTCCTCTATGCTTGGTATCTGACCCTGTCCCACTCAGATCTGATCTCACTAGATCTCTTCCCATTGATCTTTGTCCCTCAGGGTCTTTGTATTTCTCTGTCTCTCAGACTCAGTGCTCTCCTCCACGTCTGCCCCTCTCTCTGGGTGGGCCTCGATAGCTCGCTCCCATATTCTCCACTCTCCTCTCTCATTATCCCAGCATCTGTCTCTCTCTTTTCTCTGGGTAGATATGTCTCTCTTTCTTGATCTCTCTTCCTCTCCGTGTTTTTCTTTCTCTGGGTCCTGCCCCTCAGGATCCCTCCACCCATGCAGATTTTTCTTGCTCGCTCTGGTCTTCTCTCTCTCCTTTTGGGTCACTGGCTCTCTTTCGACTTGCTCTGGTTCTTTCTTGGTGTGTCATATGTTTGTGCCCCCCTCTCCCATCCTCTCTGACTCTCTCTTGCTCTCTCCCTCTGTGTTTTCTCATCATTTCCCTGGCTTTCTTGTGCTCTCTGCCTCTCCATCCAGTCTCTGTCTCTCCAGCAGCTTCCCTGTCCCCCGCCTCTCAGATATAGGCTTTCTCTGGGCCTCTCCTCTGCCCCCTGCTCTCAATATTCAGCCTTCAGATCTTCACTCTGGCAACAATAGCCTAGTCTCCTGAGAGGCATGAAAACACACACACACACACACACACACACACACACACACATGCAGCCAAGATTGCTCCTTTCGGAGTCATTCAGGCAAACTAAGAGCCATGAGTCTCTGCTCTACTTCCCCTCACTGTGGTACGTGCCTCCCATCAGGGCCCACAGAGACCACAAAGGGCTTCTTTGGATAAATGTCCTGGTTATTGATTTTGCTTTTCAACTTCTAGTGACTGTTTCCTGCATGCAAATTTTTATTTCCAATGACCTCTGGTGTGGACAGTTTTTGAATCTATATCATCCTCACTGAGCCCCAGTCCCTGCCCAGACGAGGTGCCATGATGAAGCCCACCCAGAGGCACCACAACTCTGGGCCCTCTGGTTCTGCTGGATGCACAAAAGTTCAGAGTAGGGAATTTCCTTGTTCAGTGCCAGGAAGTCTTCACCTCCAGGTCATGGAGCAGAGAACATGATCACCCTCTGAAGTTGGCTGGTCCAATACTGTCCGTCTCCCCTTGCATCAGGCCCATGAAGCCAGTCTTTCCATGAACCTGGATATGCATTGCTCAGGGCCTCTGGGCTATGTTAGTGCTAATCTTCCCCTGGTGCTGTTTAACACTAACCCCTATTCCCCCACCTATAGCCACCACCACTACTCTCCATCACAGAGGAGAGGTCCCTACTCAGTCCATTTCCAGGAACCTTTGGGGCCAGCTTCCTGACACTGGCTTCTCCACTTCCCTGTCCCCAATGAGGGAGAGAGCCAGGGTCAGTAACACACCTGTGGTTTGCCTCTGTGAGGGTTCCTGTGCCCAGCTTCCCATGGAGACATCCTCCCACTCTACCCACAAGACGAACAACCCTACCCCGGGTTGTTTGGGAGGAACCCAGGGCACAGTGAGTCAATACTTGCCTAGGGGCAGACAGTGGCCAGTCAGTGGCCCAACCATGATGAAAACCTGAGTCCTCTGACCTCAATGACCTGCACTGTTTTCCTCTACTCTCCACGCCCAGCCCCCGCCCCACCCCCCGCCCGAGGCTGTGCAATCATAGTAAAAGCCCACACAGGAAGGAAAAGGCCTGGGATGTGCCCCTCATTCTCTGTGACACCCACCCCTGCCTTAGCACCCTTGTCTGTAAAATGGGATGCTATATCCTGTGCTAACTCCTCTCCTGGTTGCTGTGAGAAACCAGGGAGTTAGAGCTAGAAGCAGAGTCTGTAAGACAGAGTCAGCTCCTTGGCTGCCAGGTAGGGGGAGGGGAGGATCAGCGGGTACTGGGCATGGAGAGAGCAAGAGCACAGAGGACACAAAAGACACAATGGGCAAAAGGCAGAAAGGCAGAAACTTCCAGCCTCCACCCAAGGGAACTCCCCACCCCCAACCAAGGGAGGACCCCAATGTTTTGCTCTCTGTCAAGCTACCCACGGTCAGATGTGCCCTGAAAACAAACCCTGTCTTCATCCCCACCCTCAACTCAGCTCCATTCTCACCCCCAGCCCTGCCAGCATTTCCTACCTGCAACTGTCAGGGCCTGGCCTGCTTGTGCGTATTCATAGCAGGAGAAGGGTTGTTATTTAGACACTGGTGGGGCAAGCCAAAAGAAAATAAATATTTCCCATGAAAGTAAAGGAATGACCCTGGGCACTTCTGCTAACGGAGCCTTACGCGGTCAGTTAGGAGCTTCCTGGAATGTTTAGAGCTGAAAGGGGCCACAGAGGTGAAGTCCAGCATCCTCATTTAATAGATGCGGAGCTGCACAGCTGGCCCAGGCCACACAGCACCTCTGGTGCAGGCCTGGGCCAAGAATTCAGGTCTCCCAGGCATTTCCCACTAAAACTCTTGCAGCAGTTGAGTTCATGGAAAATAGAAGACTTTGTACCTAGTTGCTTGGTGGCTCTTAAGTTTCCTCTAATTGGACTATTTATTGCATCTAAGGTTAAAGTTAAAAGATGTGCCTGATATTTTATAAATGAAAACATATTGGTATAAGAACAGGCCACATGTGACCAACCAGACCCCCAATTAACTCATCTGAAGCCACAGTGGTCATACCAGCCCCAATCCACACCCTTCTAGGGATGGTGACTCCAAAAGACATTTTCATTTTCTTTCTAGAACTCGGCATTTCATGGCCAGGAACCGTACGACATCTGGGCTGCCCCTCTTTGGCTTACTGAGGTCTCCTCACCACGGTTTCTGGCCAGAACACCTGCCACCCAGCAATTGTCATCAACTGCAACGAGAGCTCAGCCTCTCAAGGCCCAGGCATGTTTCCATTGTGCAGGTTCATCCCGAACCAGAGATTCTGAGTTCTGAGTCTCTGGCCTCCTGTGAGGCAGAGGCAGGGTACCCAGTGCCACCTCCAAGCCTGGGCAGGAGAATACTTCCAGAGTCCACTGAGGCGGTGGGCCCACAGCACTAAGCAGGTGCCCCCTTGCTCACTCTTGCCATGCCAGCCTTCCTGCCCATGTAAGAGCTCTGTGCTGGCTGTTCCCACAGTTCAGAACACCATTCCCCCAGATCCTCACATGGCTCATTTCTTGGTATTCAGCTCACAGGTCAAAGCCACATCCTATAGGGGCCTCCTACAGTCACCTAGTCATTCTTTTACATGCTCTTATGTTATATTGGAGGAGTTTCTCCATTTTTTAAACAGCATTACTGAGGTGTAATTGGCATTCAATAAAGTACACATATTTAAAATATACAACTTGAGGGAGCACCTCTCTATTATTTACTAGATGGGATCCTACCTGATTCATGAATTGATCAATAAAGCCAGTCATATCTTGAAATTAAAAATAAATTTAAATTTAAATGTAAAATTCTATAAGTTTTGACATATGTACACACCATCACCCCAATAAATAAAGATACTATGAACATTTATGGACATGTCTTTAGGTAGACACATGCTCTCTCTCCTCTTGGGTAAATACTTAGGAGTGGAAGGGCTAGCTCGTGTGGTCGTAAACTATGATAACCTTTTTAAGATGCTGCAATCTATTTTCCAAAACGGTTATACCACTGTACATGCTCGCCAGCAGGATTTGAAAGTTCCGTTCTTCCATATCCTTATCAGTTGTTTCGATTGGCCATTCTAATAGGTATGTAGTGGTATTTCATTGTGGTTTTAGTTTGCATTTAATTTGCATTTAATGACTAATGATAGTGAGCATATTTTCATTTTTTGCCATTCATCTATCTTCTTTGGTGAGGTGTCTGCTCTTTTATTTTATTTATGGTAATTATCAACATAGTTTGCATGCTCGTATATTGTCTTACCTCCCACCACCCACCACCACTAAATTATAAGCTCCATAATGGCTGGGACCGAATCTATTTGCCCCTGGATTCCCTAACACCTAGAACAGTGCCTGGTACTTGATGCGCAGATGCTCAATAAATACTTGAGAGAGTGAATGAATGAGTCTGTATTCTATCCACTGCTCTGCCTGACTCTTCGTGTGATCCTGAGCAAATTTCCCAGTTCTTTGGCCTCAGTTTCCCAGCCTGTAAAATTTGGGGTAGGGTGTTGAATTCAAAAACCTGAGGGGCCCTCCAGCTCTGATTTGGTCTGGATTTGAGACACATCAGCCCTTGGCCACCTGGGTTTTCCCTCACTCTACTCTCCAACCTTGGTAGACAAGGCCATGTCTCCCCAGATGTCCTTTCACTACATTGACAGGAGAGGGAGTGGTGCCTCTTCTGGGTCTGGGAGCCTGGACCCCATCGCCCACCACTCAGCATCCAATTAAGGGCACCAGCCACCCCTCAGGCCCCGAGCCTGCTACCTTGGCCCAAGGGGTTGTTATGGACCTAGACGGTTTCATACTCCTGCCTGACTGTCCCCCAAACCCTTCTATGCCTTATGTATACAACTAGATCTCTCAGAGCCTAAGTCTCTCTTCTGCTACCAAATCATGAACCATGCATGATGTCTCTCATCCTTCCAGGTAAACCCAGTGCTGGGCCAGTGGGCTGGAGCTTAAAGAAGAACTGGAGGGAAGAAGGTCCCAATTTCAGTCATAAGACAAAAAAAGGCCTGACCTGGACACTAAACTTCTAGGTTCCAGCCCTTTCATCCCCACCTTGATGTGTGATCTTAGGAGGTCCCTTCCATGCTCCAGCCTCAGTTTCCCAATCAGTACGTTGAGCAGGAGGACATAATGTTCCAGGGGCCTGTTCAGTGCTGACACCCACCGGCATAGCTCTACCATGGCTGGAGTTGGAATCAGGCAGTAAGATTCAGGGCCCTGCTCAGGTGGAGACAGAGACGACACCCCAGGTCAAGGTCAGGGCTCAGCCTGGCTGGAGAATAGAAGCCAGGGAAGTGGCCCTTCAAGGCATGCCCAGATGCTGAGAAAGCAGGTCAGGTAGAGCCTGGACCAACTCCTGGGAGCAGAGAAGGAGGATGCCTCGAGCTAAGGAGACACACAAAGGCCTTGTCCAGGGAGGCTGCATGGAATAGACAGGAGGCCAGGAGTTGGCAACTCAGAACTAAAGAGGGTTCCAGCAGCCTCTGGCGCTGCTCCTGCAGCAGCGGGCTACAGATACTCTGGAAGGGGTGAGATGGGAGAAGGGAGCAGAGACTCCAAGGTCTGGCAGGAAGTGCTGAGAGGTAGAGACTGGGAAAAGGACAGGAGAGCCTGGGATCCTGGGGTAGTGGAAAGATGCAGGTGAGGAGCTGGGAGAGAGGTGAGACAAAGGAAAGGAAGAGATGGTGGGGCCACCACTGAGAGGAATGAGAGATGCAGCCAATTAGGGAACTGCAGACAGAGCTGTGAGATCATGCGAGGGGACGACAGATCGCTGAGGGAGGGAGAGGTCAACGTGTCCACAGCTGCTCGCAGGGAGAGCAGGTGAGCAGGGCCCCAAGGGATGGGCTCCACCCACAGATGCCTCGCCTCACATAGCGAGCCATCACAGTCATCTGGGAAGGCAGAGCCCTGATGAACTGCAAAAATATTTTAAATAAAAGTGTTCTAAGCATCAAAATATTGAAGCCGTTGTTGTCACATTGTGGGTTAGTTGCTATGGAGAAACTCAGCCCTGGCAGCCACTCCAATCAGACCCCATGGGAGACAGGAAATGAGTCTCGAATGGGCTGGTTTAGGGATGGCATCAGGGAGGGGGTTCTCTGCCCAGAGCCAAGAATGGGGGAGGTTGTAGCCAGAACAGTATTCTACCACCCAGCCATGCTTCTTGAAATCACCTGAACTGAGTATTCCCCATTTCTGGAGGCACAGAACTGCAGGGAAACTGAGGCCTGGAGAAGGTAAAAGATTACCCAAGATCACAGAATAAGCCAATGGCATGGCTGAGCCCATGTCCCAAGTGTCCTGCTCTGGGTCCAGAAATCTTCCCAGCACAGTGTTTCTCTTTCAAGACCCCATTTTCCCAGGCATTTCAAAGTTGGCCTTGTCTCAGGAGTAAGTCAACCTCTCAGATATGGCGACTCCCTCTCCACTGGTCCTCACACCTGCCCTGCACATTCTCGCCTCCGAGCCTTTGCTCAGGCTGTCACTCTGCCTGAAATACCCACCCCATTTGATGCCTTCTTCTCCAATTCTTACAATGCTTCTTGTTCTTCCATCCCTTGCTATGTCCTGCATGCTGACCATGCACCCAACATTGGGGTCAGAGCTGATGTCCTTGCCCACCATCATCTCTCACCTGAACAGCTGCAATAGTCTTTCTAACTGGTCCCTACTTCTGCTCTTGTTCTCTTCACATCTATGAGCTGATCTAAGTTACTTACTGGATCACAGGCAGCCTCATTTCTCCTGTCCCCCTTGCTCACTACCTCCCTGCCACATGGGCTTCCTTCAATTCCTGGAATGTCCTCATCTTTCCTACTTCAGCACAATCACATTTGCTGTGTCCTCTGTCTGGAAGGCTCATTCTCCCACTCCTCACCTGGCCAACTCCTACCCTCAGCTCTACAGAGAGGATGTTAAGGACTTCCTCCACCAACTAAATTAGGTACCCCGGTCATCACTCTTTCTATTAGCACCTGGTGCTTTTTACTCAGTGGCATTATTCCCCACTTATAATTGTATTCCCCTTTGTGTAACTTAAATGTTTGACTCTCTCATTAGACTATAAACTTAATGAGAATAGTGACCGTGCCTATCAGTTTACTACAGTATCTTGAGCACCTAGCACAGCTCTTGAGGTAGATTAGGGACTCAGCAAATATCTCAAAGAGTGAATGAATGCTGAGCCCCAGTCCTCAGGGAACTCACAGACTGGTTAAGTATGAAGTGTGGAACTGCAGGATCTGAGTGGAAAGAGATACTAACCCCCAACAGAGATTCCTTCTTGGTGCTTCCACAAAGGTTCCCCAACCTATGATGGGAGGATTGGGTTCACTCACCTCTAGCATCAAAGAATTCATCATCCGAGCTCTCCACAGAGTCACCGAGGACATTTCGAAGGTGCCAGGGGGCACCGCCGCCCGGGGTAGGGCCACCTGCCAAGGGGAATACACCTGTTAACTAAGCCCGATACCACGTTTGTTCCAGCATGAAAGAGGTAAACCCAGACCACCCCTGGACCAAGGGTCAGTCAGCGTCCTTCACGTCCCTGCCCTCTCCCTTCCAGTGCTCAGGACCTCACAGAGCACTCCCACTACCATACTTTCATTTAAGCCCCAAATACCTCTCTGAGATAGCTCAGCGGGACAGCAACAAGCGTGCCCATTTTGTATGCTCTAAAACCGAGATCTGAGGTAGTGAGAGACATTGCCAAGGTGACACGGTGTATCAGTAAGCACAAAATAAGTTTTGCTGTCCTAACAAATGATCTCAACTGCTTAAGACAACAAGGGTTCACTTCTCACATACAAGTTGGAAGGGGCTCTGTTCATGACAGTCACTCAAAGGCGTCACCACCTTATGATGTCACCGTCTCAAAAGGAGACCTCAAAGTCTGCCGAAGCAGGGGAGAAGAGCACAGAAAATCACGCCCAGGCATAAAGGCTTCTTCCCACAAGTGACGCATTTCTGCGCACATTTCATCGGCCAAAGCAAGTCACCTGGTAATGCCCAACTTCAATAGGGTTGAGGACAGGAGAAGCAGACATCCTGATGAGTGCTAGTAATGTCTACTACACACAGCATGTGCAGGCCGGCCCAGGACGGCAGCCTCCAGGAGAGAAAAAGGGGGACCTGAGCTTGAGCTCTACCCTGTCTCTGCCACTTATAACCCGTGTGGCATTTCCCTTTCCGTATTGCAGCCTCAATTTCCTCATCTATAAAATATCGATAACAATCAATCTTGAGCTCAAAAGATCAGAAATAATGCGTGCTCAGCACCTGTACCTCAGGAATCTCAGTAATAGCAGCTGCTATTACTACTCTCTATAGAGGCCAGGACATGGGGCTGAGGGGTCCTCCGGAGCAGGCAGGAGCAAGGACACACAGAGAAGGTGGCTCCTTCCCTGAGCTCTGCCCTAACCCACCTCCTGCCCCAGAACCAGAGCGAGGAAGGCCAGAGACAGAGCTGGGTTCAGGAGCCTCTCTCCCCACCCCCCATTCCCTGGTCTCCCTCTGCTGGGCACTTTGGGACTCACATGGAACCAGCTGGTGCCCAACACATCTGTGAACCTCTCCACATGCTCCCTGGACACAGGAAACACTGGGGATTGCAGATTTACTATTAGATTTTACTATTAGTAAAATCTAATAGTAAAAATTAAAATTATAAAGATGTTAGAAGAAAATTGACCTGGTAATTTTCCTGAGGAAATAATCAGAGAAGTACACAAAGATAGAGGTGTGCAGGTGGTCATCTCGGTGTTTTGGTAACAACCAAAAAAAAACTGAAAGAAATCCCAGTGTCTATCTGTAGGGGACTGGCTGTACATTCAAATGCAGTCATAAAGGGAATTCTTCGCAATTGTTAGAAAGATGGTCATGAAAAGATGCCCATGGAATATGGATTAGGAGAAAAAAATGCAGGTAGGTCCCAGAATAGTATGTTCCTTTTGACCCCATTTTTGAAAAACATACTTACGTCTGCATACTGAAGGCATGCGTAACATGTTAGTTAAGAGCTCAGGCTCTGAGATTGAAGTGGCCTGGATTCAAGCTCAGGCCTCATCTCTTAGACGCTGTGTGATGTCGGATGAGTCCCTTCACCTCTGTGTGCCTCAGTTTCCTCAGCCATAAAGTGAGGATAGCACAGACCTGCCTCATGAGCATGTTGCAAAGATTAAATAAAATGCCTCAAAGCATTTAGCACAGGGCCTGGCATATAGCAAGTGTTCACAATGATAATTATTGTATAAATATATTTACAGATGCTTTAAAATGTCTGGAAGGACATGCACCAAAATGTCAATAGAGATTATCTCTACCTAATAGAATTTGATAAGAAGAGACAGGGAAAACTCAGCTTTTATACACTGTACATGTAATTTTATGTGACTTAATTTTTTCAATTTATCTTACTTTATCAGTTTATGATGCACATTTTTTAATACTTCTACATCTTTAAAACTGAGGTGCATCTTATATGATGGCATGTCATAATTGGCATTGTTTAATTTTTTTCTCTGGGTATAGAAAATAATCGTGTATCTTATAATGGATTGCATCTTAGATTCAATAGAAAACACACACGCATTGTTCATCTTCCCTGGGGCTTCAGCCCTGGCCACCAGACACACATGTCCTATCTCTAAAGAGACTTGATTTCCTGTATCAGCAATACCCTTGCCTTAGTTTCCCTATCTATACAATCAGAAAACTGACAGAGACTGTCCCTTGAAACTTTTCAATTCTAACTGATGTTTGAGGAGCCCATCTGGTACCCAGTAGATGTCAATAAACAAGTGAGAGGTAGGCGTTACCCCTAGCCATGGCTAGAGTGCACGTTATGATGCAGTCTTGGGATGACCTACTGCAGCCCCCGTTCACCATGCTCTGCCACCCTGCAGCATGCCGGCACTGCTCTCTGCCCTGAGCCCAGATTCCAGAACATAAACTGGTCCTGAAGGGCAAGGCTAGCCCAGGGACACAGCCTTCCTGCCTGTCCCTCCTGCCCCATCCACCATGATCTGCCAAAAACACACCTACCTTGAGCACCATGGCTTGGAATCATGCAAGAAGCATGTTCTGAGACACAGAAAAGGCAGAAGCCACGGGGAACATTGACCTGGGAGTCACCTCTGGGTGCAAAGTTGGGTCTGTCCCACATTCCTCATGGGAACCCTTTAAATTTTGTATTCTCGCCCACCAGTAAGGATAGCATGACAGTCTGGTAAGCAATTTTCTACCCATAGGCCCTGGGTTTACTGCAAAGGAGTTTGAGAATCCAGATGCATCATTGCTGTATATTTCTAACGTGGATATAGGACTGTTTCCTAAATGAATGTGGAGGGAGTTCTAGCTAGTACAATAAGACAAGAAAAAAGAAATAAAAAGTATACATATTAGAATGAAAAAATACATAAAGCTGTCTTTATTTTCAGTGGGCATGACTGTCTATATAGAAAATAAAAACTCTACAAAATCTATAAAAACATCCCACTGGAACTAATAATTGAATATAGCAAGATTTCAGAAAACAAGGTCAATATACAAAGTCAATTGAACTCCTATACATCAGCAATTAACAACTAGAACTTGAATTTTAGAGACCAATACCATTTATAATAGCACAAAAATAAATAAATAATAATAAAAAGAAGTACTTAGGTATAAATCAAATGTAGGTGGAAGATTTCAATGACTCAAAAAATACATCACTTAAAATTCTTTCTGAGTTTACATTAATTTTATATATTTCTCAATCGACAGATACTAAAGGTATAAAAATTATCACACATTCTATATTAATATGCAAATATCCCTTGCTCTCCAAACCTATTCCATTCCATTCCTAAGAGGGAAGAGTTTGGATAGTCAGGACAGTCATATTACCTTCATCTGTTTGATTCCTGAGTTTTGGGTGGTGAGCAGAAAGAATTTAAGTGGCGACGGGTATATCTGAAGATTTATCCGAGTCTATTTGGCTCCTGAGTTTGAATAGCAAGAGTTTGAGGAGAAGTTCCTGGATATGGTGGCCCTCATACCTGTACAGCGTACACTCCACCCAAGAACAAAGACAAGGACATTTCTGCCAACCTCCCCTCACAAATGTGCTTGAGCCTGAGGAAATGAGGAAAGTCTTAGAATTTGTCCCTCCCTCACCACCCCCACCTCATTTATCCCTTCAGGCCACCGTCATCCTAAGTCACTGCAACACAGATAACATGTGTCATGGGCGGACCATCGTGGGAGTCCCAGCTGGGAGAAGTGGGCAGAGGGAAGGCTGCAGGAAGGCCAGCTCAGCTCCATTTGAGGGAGGTGTTCTCTCAGCTAGTGGTGGGCAGAAAGGGAGAGGCTTTGGGGCATCAAAGGGTGCTGCCCATCCCACAGGCGCTGTGTTAAGTGCTGGAGACATCAGGATAAATAAGAGGGACAAGATGGGGCTCTCACAAAGCTTATATTCTGCAGAGAGCCAGAGGAGACAGACCTGGAACAAGTAAGCAACAAGGATAATTTCATTCGTAGAAAACAGCAATGGACAGAATATCTTGGGAGGGGTGTGAAGGGAAGATCTTCTGAAAGGTGTCAGGGGACTAGAAGCTTGAATAATGAGAAAGAACCAGACATGCTAAGTGTATATGCACACATGCCCCTGCACACACACACACACACGGGATGGATGTGCAGAGCCCATGAGTAAGAGCCTTCCAGGATGAAGGAACTACAGGGCAAAGTTGCACACATGAGTTTGGCACGTTTGAGGGACAGAAAGAAACCCATGCGGCTGGAGGTAGTGATGGAAGCGGGAAATAGGTAGAAGAGGAGGTGGGAGAAGAAATGAAGCCAGAACAGTTGGGTGTTGCCTGTCATGGATGGGAGCTCAAAACATGTGAGTTTTAAGGTTCCAACCCCCAGCCAGAATCTATAACCCGCACACTTCAGGAAGAGGGGGACACAGATGCCCAAGAGGGTCAAGAAGTCTCCTGAGGGGCAGGGAAAGTGTAGCACAGGTCAGGTGTGCTTAAGGCCACACACAGACTTGAGAGTCAGAGAAGGTGGGCACCATCTTCTGATCCCAGAACAGTAAGAGCAAAGGCCCAGAAGCTCAGTCTCCTTGAGGTGGGTCCCTGACCTACACCTCCCTGCATTTTCAGTGTCCAGTATGCAGTCCCAGGAGGAAGAGAGCCAAGAAGAGTTTTTGGCTCACAAGAGAATTAATAAAAATGATCTGCTGAGTAAATACAGCATGCCAGACATTCTGCTAGCTGCTTCATAGGTATTATCTATCCTAACCAAGCCCTGTGGAATGGATATCATGAATCCCCATCTTATAGCTAAAGAAATACTCAGAGATGGGAAGTCCTTTGCTCAAGGTCATAAAGCTAATAAGTGATGGAAGCAGGATCTGAACCCAGATCCACCTGGCTAAAAGGTTTGT